GTAAAAATATAATTAAGATTGATAAAATTCAATTTATATGTTTAGAAATAATATCAACAAAATATAGTGCATTAGTTTTCTGTCTTCATTAACGTAATTCAAAGACGATAAAATAATAGTAACACGCCTTTTCACATATCAGTAGGTTTTAAAAAAATATTTCATTCATATATTTATATCCTAGAATTAATCCTTAAATGCATTTCGATGTAGATATGCACTGTAGGTTTAAAATCTCATATCTCTTAATGTATCAACTCTATGCGTAGTGTTTTTAGTTATTTTAATTTTGGCCAAGTCTTTTATTATTTTTGTATTTCTTTATTTTAAAATTTTAGCAAATTCTTCCCGAACACAACTAAAATTTACAGTTTATTTTTTTATTTGTAAATTTTCAATATTGGCTCGTTATCTGAGTTCAATTTCACATCGGTGAATGTTGCAAATTATGATTATTTATATAAAAAGTAATAAAAACCATACAGGAAATATTTGTTTTCGGATAAAAACAAGGTAAAAAAGTAACGACTAGTATTTATATTTTTGTACTTACTGAAGAACTTATGCAAGGAAATGTAGCTTTTTTTGTGAATTAAAAATACATCAGTTTACAAAAAGTTTTTTTTCTTATTTTTCTCTTTTAATTACACCAATTTTGAGGTTGATTTCAAATTTAATTTATTAAAAACAAAAATACATTCATTTAAGGGTTAAAACTAGACTATTCTGAGAATGTCTTTTACGTTTGGATATAAGTTAAATTTTACTGTTACAAGCTTTTAAGAATTTGGATTAAAAATAATCATCTTAATGTATATTAAATTAAGATTATTTGATGTAAAATCTTAATATAATTCTGTTTATTTTTAAAATCATTTTACTTTTTTTTAAAAAAATCGTTATTTACACATTTTGCAAAACTTGTATAGTAAGTAGATTCTTTAAGAATTCAGTTCTTAGTAAATTTATAAATTCCTTAGAAAATAGCTTAAGATTAGTTTTCTTTGCTGCAGCAGCCGCTTATAAAAGAAAATATATTTTTCATCGTTACAGTTTTTATGAAATACTTTTTTTTTTTTTCAATTCGTATATTTTGTCAGAGCGCAAAACATCCGCAACAATTGCGCTTGAGAAAATGTACTTTATTCACAACTGGTAAAAAATTTTTAAAGAAAGAATTTAAGCAACACAAATTATAACTTCTAGTTTTCTTGCATAAAATATAACATTATACATGACTTTAAAGTACGAAAACATTCAACAATCATTATTATCAGCAAAAAAAAGCTCTAAAACATTGAAACTGAGCCTAATCATACCACTAAAAACAGATGGCAATGCTCACAACACACACATTTTTGAAATTATAGTAAGCGATAATTATCTCCTGTATTTTATTGTAATCGATTCCACATTTCAAAATGCAGTTTTTCTGCAAAAAAATCGAAAACTTTAACGTGATTAACAGCAATTTCAAATCCTCACAGATCTCCCCGACACCTGTTTGCCATTTAAATACCATTCTTCTCACAGTTATTGCATTTTGTGATACCATTGTCTTACACTTTCGATGCCCAAACCTATACTTTATATTACATATCTGCGTTTGCGCATATGTGAAAGAAATGCCCCGATTTGCGCAGATGTGTGGCGCCTATTGAAGGGCCCAATCGAAGAAGAAGAAAAAAAGCATCACCATGTATGATTTTCTCCAATGCTTATAAGTATTGAATAGATTCCATAAACACAGGTTTGGTTCAACTGCAAGACAGCCAATCTAAGAATCGTTAGGCGAGGTTCAGGAATCGTGAAGACTGACCGAGAAGTCCTATTGTTAAATGTACTTCTCCATTTGGTCGTATCCGGCTAAGGCGGATACCAAGTGTAAAAGTCTGGATTCTAACGTACCATGGTTAGTGGGAATGGGGAGTTTGGAGGGTGGTAATGGTCGTCTACTTATTTTCTCATGTTAGTTTGATTTTTTTCCCTTTGTTATTATTATTTCTTTCCCTGCCGCAAACCCTGTGTACCACATACATGTGATTCTTTCTTCAACTAACTTTTGTCCGATTTTTATGACGGTTGTATAATTTTGGGGCATCCAAACTTCTCTCTTGCATTTCAAAATTGGCTCATTTTCTGTCCCCCCCTCCCCCATAAGAAGTTGTTTGGTGATACTGTTGCGAAATTGTTAAGGTCAAAAATGCAAGGAAGGAAAAATCTTGTTTGAGGTTGGATTGTTTGTACTTGTTTCCCTCTACAGACGGAGAATCATTACGAGAAATAGATTTAGAGATTAAAGTGGATTTTTAGAGATGATTTCTTTTTTAAAGAAAAAAGGAACAATATTCTCGATATATCCCGGATTTTTGCAATTTTATATCTTTATCTTTTTCGGTTACTCGTATTTGGATCACAATTTCTAGGCTATTATGTATGGGGTTTTTTGAGTCTCGAAAGTCTATAAGTAGGGTTTTTTTCCAATCCTGTTTTTATACATTGTATGAAAAATTTAAATGTTTATAGCTATTATTGAAACACTTTACTGAATTATGAAAGAAAACGAGCTTTAAAATTATCGAATGTCTTGTTTATATTTTGTTCCTATGATTTAAATATATTTCCCTTTAAGGTAGCTTTTTAAATAAAACGTGTCCGGTTCTGTTAAGCTTTTAAAATTATCTTTTTATGTTTATTTCTATGTATCATAAATTTCGTGAGTCCTCAACAACTCGATTTTTTTATTTCTTTTCACATATTCTTTTAAATAATATACAAACTATCATTATAGTTTGGATTAAGCTTTTGATTTTGGGTATTATGTGACACAATTTTTTATTTGTGTGAGTATTTTGAATTTTTTTTCATAAAATAATAATTAAATAGGATAATTTTGAAAAAATATTATTTTTGTTGTTGATACTTTTTAAGAAATTATAAGGATGTTTATTTCCATAATGTTGTTTTACCATTTCAAAAATTATTTTCCATTTGGATGTAATAAAGATTTCTTAGCAATATTTTCAGTTAATGTTCTTTACAGTCAATTATCTATTATAGATAAAAAATTCCGGAGACTTTTAAATGTAATTCCATTACTTTTTCTAAGACTATTTTAAAAAAGGAAAATATTTTCTCTTAAAATTTTTAAAGATAGATTTATACTTACACGGTTGCCATTAAATATTTAAAAAAAATTACATCTTTTTTGTATGAAACTTATTTTGTTGTTATTATTATTGAATTAATAATTTAAAATAATTTAAGAAGAATCTAATATGCTTTCCAAAAATGTAACTGTTAAGATGATGCAAAACATAAACACATAACATGATTGTAAAATCAATTCAAAAAACTTCATTTATATATTTGAACTCTTCAAGAATGAATCCAAAAATTGTAAACCAGGAAATGTCAGTGAAAGGCAAATAAGAAATTGCATAGTGTGCATGAACAAATAAAGGAGAATACCATTGTCACCTAAAATATTTGCAATGCACATTGTTGCTCATTTCTGCTATTATAGGTGATTAAATAAAAAAAATTTAGATTACTGTTACAGATTTCACCCTGAATGCATTCAATAAATACTTATTCACAAATTCGAGGAAATGTTATTCTAAACATTTTTATTCACTTTTTAGAACTATTTCAGATTTACAAAAAGATATTTTAAATAACTTCCTAATATCTTTTTTGGATTGATACTTTAGAACTACAAAGCAAAATATTTTTTTAAAAAAAATGTGGTCTCTGGATATAAAGATTTCATACAAAATAAAAAAATTGAGTAAATATTAATTTATATTTAAGATAATTCAGAGAAGTAATTTTTTATAAGTTTGTTTTAAGTATTTTGTGTATTATTTTATAATGTTATAAATAATGTTTCATATTACAAAGATTAAAATCATTAATTTATTTCATTTTGAATGCTACTTTATAAATGTTATGCAAGTGTATTCATATATCAAAATTACTTATTTTTTAAAATTCTAGGTATTAAGGTTTTTGGAAAGCGTTATACTAATTTTATATTAGAAGAACAGTAATTTTGCTTTATATAGAGAAAAACTAAACATTGCTTGGTTGATATATTGCACGCTTTTTAAGAATTTTTCATGAATTTAATTTGAATATTGATAAATTATTCCCAAATATCTTTACGAAATCAAATAAACTTTTAGTTGCAGATTTAATGTAGCATGGAAAAAATTAAGAAATAAAAATATGATGACAAGAAATAAAAAGGTTTTCAGAAAGGAGTTTCTAAAAAGTAGTTATGTACGCAAATAAATATGAAATATTTAATCCTATTGGGAATATATTTGTGGTACATTCGAATCGTCTAAGATTAAACCGGGAATTACATTCATCAATATGACTATGATTAATACAATGTGATGAATTGCATTTCATAACATTTAAAAATAATTTCTTTTTTATACACTTAAAAATTAATTTTTTTTTACTAGAGTTACAAAATTGTAAATTTCCTCAAAATTATTCGAGATTCGGTTATTTTTGAATTTATGTTTGTGTTTAATTGTTTATTGATGCATGATTCCAATTTAAGACTATTTTATAAAAGGAGGAATATTTAGTATTTTCTATTTTGTTACATGAAAAATACTCTTAAACTTCTCTATGCATCTACTGTCACCTGTTGAAAAATATACAATTTGTAAGTTGCATACATATAAAGGAAAGTTATATAAATATCTAGATCGGTTTGACAAAATTATGTCGAAATTAGATTGAATATAGATTGATCTTATGCTTATATATATATATATATATCAAATTTTCAATCGTTAATGAAATACTTTCTATTCATCCATTCAAGTTCAAATGCATTTTTTAAACATATAGTGGATGACACTTGATGTTAATACATATTTTTAAATATTAACTCATTAATTAAATTAAAAAATGAATAAATAGCAACAAACAAAAATAATAGTCCAATAGCATATGTAGAAAGGAAGATCGTTCTTTGTGTCCCTGCAGTGCGATGGATAGCGTGTTGGACTTTAAATTCAAAGGTCGTGGGTTCGATTACCACCTGGGATGGCCTAATTTTTAGGAATGTGATTTATTTTTTTTAATACTATTTTATTAAAATAATTAAATTTGATTAATGAATAAATAGTAACAAATAAACAAAAAACAGTCCAACACCCTATATAGAAAGGAAAATGGAAAATTCCAAGGGAAATCGGTTTCTATTTTGTCACTTAATATTGAGACTCAGTCGTGTGTATATACATATTGATATTAATTGTAATTTTTTAATAAAAAGTAACTAAAATAAAAATTTTCTTTGTTGACCTAAGTAAAAATTTACTTAATTTTTTTTTTTTTTTTTTTTTGACTTTATGTTTACTTGTTGTTTTCCTCAAATTATTTTTAGGTGGTATAAATGTGAACTATAATTATATCTTTCAGAATAAATATTATTCAATAATAGTAAGTTAACTATTATACAAATTTTGATGTATGACATATATTTATACATTTTTTAGTTATTTTGCATTTTTTAGCTTTGGTTAAAATGTAAGTTTTTTGAAATTTTAGAAATTAAAATAATAAAACATTTTTTAAATAAACAAGCCACCATATAACAAAAATATATTGGAAATATGTGACTCATTTTCTCAACTTATAATTCTCACACTGTCCCCTTAAAACCACAAATTAGAGATTTGTTTGACTGCATAAACAACCCAATTTAAAAATATAACAGAAAAGGTTTGAACAACACGAAATTTTCTTGAATTACTTTAAATATAAGTTTTTACGTTAAATTCCCTCTAAAAATTCAATTTATTTTCTATTTTGAAGTTAGTTAACTATACTTATTTAGGGGAGTCACAAATTAAATAGGCATCATATATTCCCGGAACTTAAATCTAAACACATGAAAAACGAATTTCGTTGTTTACATTCTCAGCTGTCTATTATTCATAACAACATAGAATTTTTTTCGTTAAGCCTAAATTAAGTTCGTTTCTGCACAGTATTTCTTTTTCAATCTTCTCATAATCGGCAAGTGTTTTTTCTGTAGAGATATACTTTAGAAAAGAAAATTACAGATTCAAAGACTTGTTTTTCTCTAATGATGATGTTTGATGATCTTTGATGACTCAATCGAAGAAAGAAGCTCTTGTTATTTTGAGAATTTTGTGAAAAGAACACCATTATTTCTACTCTTAACTAGATAGAGAGAATTGTGAAAAAACCATCTCGAGCCTCTGGTTTCTTTTGGAGATGAATTTCGTTCACACGACTTTCAAAATTATTGTAGAAAAAAATAGTAGCTTTACTCTCTTGTTAGAATATTATTTTGAAATATTCTTCTCTTCTTTTTTCAATGTTGACTATTTTCTTTATTTAAGCTAGCTAGTTTAAAGTATGATATATTTATTTCTTAGAAATAGATTGTTTATATAATTTACACGATGGGAAAATTTGTTTTCATAATATATTTTTTATTACCCCTTCAGACAACTCAATTTATGAGAAAGTGTTTTGTTATTTGAAAAACAATTTTGATTTACTATTTTTATTGTTTTGATTCTCCTGTATTGTCTTTAGCAAAGTACAATAAATTATGGGTACTTTTATAATGTTTCCTTTTTTGTGCATTATTAAATTTAAAAATTACTATGTTAGTTAATTTAGTTTTTAAGCATTTAGAAATACTATATGTTTTCCTTTAAACTCAGGCTTGATTGAATTATTTTTAAAATTGTAATACAAAACTAATGTCAAAAAGATTGTCTATGAAAATTACTTTATCATATAAGTAATTTACTTATTTAATACTTTTTAAATAATAAATAATTTTAAATAATACTTTTTTTAATACTTTTTTTATTGAAAAGATAACTTTTCTTTTCATTAACACTGATTGTTAGATTAATTAGATTTAATTAACGACATTTTTAACACAATTAAAATTTTCTATTTATTTCATGATATAAATTCATAGTTTTTTAATTTTTGTAATGTCTAAAATTTATCTTGTACTTTAAAATAATTTTTAAACAAGTTTATGGGTGTGCTATATGGATTAATATTCAATTCCTACAAAAAATAGTTGCCTTATTTTTAATATTTGCCTTGTTTATATTTTAACAATACTACCCTTCATACAAAAATAATTTTTCTACTTATCAAAATTGGAAAAATATTAGACATTTAAAAATTTAGATGATTAATGGGAATATATTTAAGTTAATGTGAACCTCATAAAAGTGTAAGTTCTTATACACCTTAGCTAATGAATTACATATTAACTGCATTCTGTTATTAAAATTATTACTATACCTTAACCCATAAACTGGAAAAGGGTTTTGTCATTCTCATTTTGAAAAAAAAACATTAATGGCATTTCTTATCTGGAATAATATTTAAGATCATAGGTTGAGTCATCAGATGAAATAAATAAAATTATATTTCATTACGAAGTTACTCCAAAAATAAAGCAAAAAGGATAAAGGTGTCCGTTTAAATTTTTCAAAATAAAGAAAATATGGTTTTGATTACGAAATTTATATTGTTGTGAACTATAATAATTTCAATTAAAGTTTACTAACTTCAATTGGACAAGGAAAAAAAAAGTATGTAAAAGGACCATGTGATACAAACAAGAGAGCTAAAACTTTTGTGCAGAAAAATAAAGCCCCATTTTTCGATATTATGTATCTTTTAAGATTTCTTATTCTTTAATTGCGTTAATTTCTTTGTTACATTTTCAAGATAAGAACTTAAATTGATCATAATTGAAGCAATTTGGTTTTAAAAGAACGTGGAGGCGAAAGGATTTCAAATTTTATTTAATTCAATCACATTGCATAGAAAAATTTTAGTTCTTAAATGCAAAAAAATATTAATTGATTTAGAAAGACTACTGAAATAGTAACATATATATATGTGTGTGTGTGTTTTTGTGCAATTAACTCACGAACATATTAAATTAGATACACAACATTTCAAATTCAATTTACCTATTTTTTAATAAGCCTCAATCAACCTTATAATCAGCCTCAGTTATTATTTTTAAGGTTCAAAAAGTGGACATGAGCTGCATCCTTAACTTATTAGAACATCAGCTTATCCAGGCAACAATTTTTTAAAAAAATCTCTCTATTTTTTTTCTTTCGTTTCGTTTCTTATAGTAAATTTTTTTCTTTTTTAAATGTGTATAGTATTCTGAAATTGTCTTGTTTGTGTAAAAACTAATAGTATGTCATTACTAACCGAATACAACCTTTTTATATGATTACAACGTATTTTAATTTAAACTTTTTAGATATTTCTGCAGTTTTTTTTAATTTGTGTAAAATATTCTCAGTTATAATTGAAGTTGTGCACCATTTATGTTTCATTAATGCGAATATGAAAAACTTTTTTTTTTTATAAAAACAATTTTCTATTCTTTTTTTTTTAATGCTGTTAATTTAAATTTTATTGTAATTTCCCCTAGATGAAAAAAATATTTAAAAGAAACATAAAACAAACTATTTAATGCAGAAAAAAAATACTTATAATATTTTAATGTATCTTAAGGTATGCCTAAAAATTTATTAACTTTTTGTGTATTCTGGTTGACAAAAATATTCTTAAGTTAACTAATGAATCAATAATATTATTCTTCATCGTCGTTAACAATAAATATTAAAACTTGGAAATTATTTATGGAATTTATAAGAATCTTAATTGAATTTAGCATTCTTTTGATGTATTTGTCTATTAAAAGAACAATAATGTTATTCGGAACTCCAAGTTAAAAAAAAAAAAATAGAATCAAATTATCAATTTTTCAGTATATTGTCTTTTGATAAAAAATTAATGCTTCTGTTAATACAACTTTGAAGTTCATAGTCAATTTTTAAAGTAAAATGTTGAGACCATGATCTTACAATAAGTATCACAGAAATGATGAATGAGTATATATCTAGAATAATGTGCAATATGTAATACATTTTTGTATGATATTTGCTGCACTAAATGATTTTCATGTATTGTTTTTATTTCAGTACAATATTTTTTTTCTCACTATTAAAATAGCTCATTCTTAAATTCTGATATAAATGAAATTATGTAAAAAAGTATTTCATCTTAAAGAGAACACAATCTAAAAACTCCTTATTAAACAAAGAAAAAAATATGAATTATGGGTTGAAAAAATTACGAAACTCTTTTAGAATTGAAAATGATATAAGGATGTATTTTTGGATTTGAAATAATTCGAATATTAAATTTCGAGAACTATTTAAAACTATATAAACATAATTGATAAATATTGATTTAAAATAGTTACATGCTATTTTTTGTGCGTAGTTTTTAAAGTATCCGACTACGTTTGGAACCGTGATTTTGCAAAAGCGTATAAACGGATAATATTTATGATATTTGGTGTCACTTAGATTAGAAAATGTACATAAAATTGTTTTAAGAATATTATTACAATAAAAAATTATTTAAGTACAATATTTTGACAAAAAATGAACATAGAATGACCCATTTTCAAAATATTCTCCTTATGTGAAAAATGCTTCTATTATAATAATATTTTGCCTGTATATAGCTCACACCTCTATAGAGATGTTCAACAATGATTTTTGAAAAATTCACATTATTTTCAGAGTAACAACCATTTGAAATAATTATCGGCGTATTTTCTTAAAATTTCTCCCTTCTGCTTTCGTAAAACATGGATAAACTGACTTCTAAATTATGCATTTCAAAAATTCTAGTTGAGCCTCTGTACAGAGGTCTGAGATGAGTACAGGCAAAATATTATTATAATAGAAGCATTTTTCACAAAAGGAGACTATTTTGAAAATGGGTCATTCTATGTTCATTTTTTGTCAAAATAGTGTACTTAAATAATTTTTTATTGTAATACTATTCTTAACCCAATTTTATATACATTTTCTAATCTAAGTGACGCTAAATATCATAAATATTATCCATTTGCACGCTTTTGCAAAATCACGGTTCTGAACGTAGTCGGATACCTTATAAGTCCCGATTTTATCTTATTGAAATGAATGATTCTTTTA